GCCATTGACGTTCTTAGGATGTACAAACTTCCTCAATATCTTACAAAAGGCTAAATAGTGATAGTCCCAAGCTTACCGTCGAAAATTTCCACCAAATATCTTGCTTGGACTGTTACAAATCAACACAACACATTTTTACCCAATAGATGTTGAGTTGCTATTGGTGACGGAACGAAGAGAAGAAGTGAAGTAATTTAGATTGTATTATTGTGGATTGTGGAAGCAAATCTCATGGTTCGGTGTTTAACAAGATGCTAGATTATATAACGCCTAACTAGACACTTTCCATCAAGTAAGGATATCAAAAGATAGGAGACATGGTTAATGATACAACCACTGTAACGCAAAGAAAGGATGGGATCAAGTTTATCTTATTTAGTTGTTTGACTAGGTCAGAATAAATTCATGTTGGTTACCGTTAGGATTGTCTGTTTTGTCCCTATTTTCAAGAGATTTTCCTGTTTTCTAACTCAGTAGGTTGCTGTACAGGTCTATTTAAGAAAGTTTTATGGACTTGTTTTCATTCAAGAAAGAAAGTAATAAACTCATCCTTCTTATGTTTTACTTCTTTCCTCTCCTGCTTCTGTGTTTAAAGAATTCTATCCCAGAAAATTACCTACCATTTGGTATCAGAGCCGGGTTACTCGAAACATGGCTACTAGAAATCAATCAAATGCTGAATTTTGTAACGAGGTTCAGGAAATCTTAGGCTGTCATGAGTCCAACCTAGACCAAGTTCATGCTACCCTTTAGACTACATTATCCGAACTCCAATCTCTCCATGCTTCCCAAGCTTCACATGTCAATACTTTATAACTTAACCCCTTTGCACCTGCAGAATCCTCCCACCAAGTGGCGCAACCTGCCTCTTTGAACACCTCATGTCTTCCCAATCGTCATTTACCAATTCAAACTGACATTCTCAAATTTCAATGGGGAGGATCCAACAGATTGGATCTATAAGGCAGAACAATTTTTTGAATTTCAGAATGTGGTGCTAGAGCAACAGGTACAATTGGCATCTTTCCATTTAGAGGGGATTGCCCTACAATGGCACAGGTGGCTAACAAAATTCCATGGACCATTAACATAGACAGAGTTTACAAAGGCAGTCCATCTGTGGTTCGGGCCAATAGATTATGAGGACCTATCTGAAGCTCTAACCCGTTTCAAACAAAATTCTACAGTGGCAGCCTACCAAGAAGCATTCGAAAAACTTTCTCACCGAGTGGATAACCTCCCTAAGCAGTTTCTTATAGGATGTTTTATTGCTGGATTGCGAGATGACATCTGGTTAGACGTCAAGCTGAAACAACCAAAAACTCTGTCAGACACAATTGAAGCCGCACGCTTGATTGAGGAACGAAATTTTCTATACAAAAAGGCTAGCCATATTGGTGTTTTTAGGTTCCCTAATACAACTCCCCAGCGAAACCAAAACAGCTCCATAGCAAGACTCCTTGGTCCTCCTCCAAACCAAAAAATGGCTTCAACCACTAACCTTCCTATTCGTCGCATATCTAGACAAGAGGCAAGAGACCGTCGAGAAAAAGGGCTTTGCTTCTACTATGACAAAAAATACATGCCAGGCCATAGATGTCAACGTCCCCAGCTCTTCATGATAGAGGATTGTCTATTAAACCCAGATTGTGATGCTCACAACGCCAATGAGGAATTATCGTCCATAGATCCATTGCCTGAAATCTCTTTTCATGCATTGTCTGGAACCAATCATCCACAAACTCTTCTCATGAATGGAAAGATTAAAAACAAGGAAGTCACGGTGCTACCCGTAGTACATAATCAATCCTTTCAGGTGATGGTTGGAAATCGTGATAAAATTGAGTGCACTGGAAGATGCCTGAACTTCGCATTGAAAATCCAAAATCACTCCCTTGTAGCTGATTTTTATATACTTCCAGTAGCAGCTTGTAAGGTGGTCCTAGGGGTACAATGGTTGGAGATCTTGGGTCTAATAGAAACTGACTACCGTAAGTTGACCATGACTTTCACTCATAATGGACAGCAAGTGAAGCTCCATGGATTGCATCAAGCCAATTAGCCCTTAGACAATAATGAATTACAACAGCTAATTGGCATAGGTTATTAGCTACAGATTTTGGCTCTTACTGAAATCCAATCCCTAGCCGCAGAAGAAAAAATGATGGTCCAACCAGCAGACTTGAGCCAATTAATCGCTGAATTTTCGGAAGTTTTCGCTAAGTTAATAAACCTCACCCCTAGTAGACGTCATGACCATGAAATTCCCTTGAAGGCTGACCAAGAACCAATCAGTGTAAGACCCTATAGGTACCCACAATATCAGAAGGTTGAAATAGAAATAATGGTGCAAGAATTTCTTGATTCAGGAATTATTCGGCATAGTACCAGTCCCTTCTCGTCTCTAGTACTGTTGTTTAAAAAGGCGGATGGAACTTGGAGGTTTTGTGTTTATTATCGGGCACTTAATAATGTTACCATCAAAGACAAGTACCCTATTCCAATCATTGGTGAGCTCTTAGATGAACTGCATGGTGCTCAATTTTTCTCAAAAATGGATCTTCGTTCTGGCTACCATCAAATCCGAGTCAAGGAAGATGACATTCACAAGACCGTTTTCGCACTCATGAAGGCCACTATGAATTCTTAGTAATGCCCTTCGGTCTAACCAATGCTCCATCAACCTTTCAGAGTTCGATGAATGACATATTTCGACCCTTCCTTCGTAAGTTTATTCTTGTTTTTTTTTTTTAATGACGTTCTAATCTATAGCAGGACATGGGCAGACCATTTACAACATCTTAGGGCGGTATTGACGATTTTATCAGTTCACCAATTGATGGCAAAACAATCCAAGTGCCAATTTGGCACCTCTCGAGTGGAATACCTCAGCCATATTATCACTTCAAAGGGCATTTCAGTAGATCCCACAAAAATTCAGGCTATTCAAAATTGGCCAGTACCAACCTCGATAAAAGGTGTGCGAGCATTCCTTGGCCTTGCTGGGTATTATTCATTAGGGGCTTTGGAAGCATTGCTGCCCCGCTTACACAATTAACTTCCCAAGCTGGATTTCATGGGAACTCTGAGGCACAACAAGCATTCTTGCAACTCAAAAAAGTACTCACAACTGCCCTCGTCTTGCAACTTCCAGATTTTTCTCAAAAGTTTATAGTGGAGTGTGATGCCTGCGGGATTGGAATAGGAGCAATTCTATCTCAAGTCGACCCATTGCATTTTAGTGAGGCCTTAGAGGGTACTGCATTGACATTATCAACTTATGACAAGGAGATGTTGGCTAAAGCTATTAGAAAGTGGATACCGTATCTTCTTGGCAGACCTTTTATAGTGGGAACGGATCAGCGAAGTTTAAAGTACCTCCTAGATCAATGCATCACCACACCAACACAGCTATGTTGGCTACCAACGATTTTATGGTACAATTATGAGATACAATATAAAAAAGGGGTTGACAACAAAGGGGCGGATGCTCTATCTCGGATTGCGGAATTTGAGTTCCATGTTATTTCGCTATCGAATCCAGATTGGTGGACCACTCTTAAGTATGAAGTTTTATCTGATCTTTTTTATGAGCAGGTTAAGTTCCATCAAGATAAAACTCCCCATCTTTATCTCCAGAGAGATGGAGTTTGGCTTAAGAAGGACCAAATTCTTTTATGTCCTTCATCCACGCTAATTCCCACCATATTGGCAAATAGTCACTCAACACCAGTGGGGGGACATTTTGGGGTTCAAAAGACTCTAAGCCATATTCGATCTATGTTTATTTGGTCAAGAATGCTCGCTGCAGTCAAGCAATTGATCCAAGAGTGTGATACCTGTCAACGTTGTAAAACTAAGACGTTGCGTCTAGCCAGACTCCATCAACATTTGGACATTCCTGACAAAATATGGACTGATATTTCTATGGATTTCAGGTCTTCCTTCCTCACAAGGGTACACGGTCATCATGGTAGTAGTAGACCGTTTGTCGAAGTATGCTCACTTCGTCCCTTTAAAGCATCTATTTACAGCTTTAGCGGTCGCTAAGGCTTTCCTAAGTCATATTGTTAAATTACATGGGGTGCCAAGATCTATTAATAGTGATGTTTTCATTCAAGAAAGAAAGTAATAAACTCATCGTTCTCATATTCTACTTCTTTCCTTTTTTGCTTCTGTGTTTTAAGAATTCTGTCAAAGAAAATTACCTACCCGTTACCATGATTATAAAAGGTTTGTCCTCAGAGGAATTTACCCTATATATTTAATAACAAGTTGCAACGCGTGCCAAACTTCCCCATACCATTAAGATATCTATGTGCTGAGAATTTACGTTTGAATACACAAAATAGCGTTACCTGTTAATTGTAATAGCAAAACTAGAACCAAACAAATCAAAAGGGCAAAAACTCTGCCTCGTATGGAAATCGGTTTCTTTAGATTGATAAAACTAAGAATTGATTAGATATTAGAAAATGGTCCCAGTAAGTGATTATCTGGTCTAGTTCTGTGTAAAGTGTAAATATAGTACACGACCAAGTTAAGACGAAAGAAATTAAAATCTTATTCAATTCGAGGCTGTTACTTGCACATATGAGAAAGCTAGGATACGCTGAAACTAGTATAAGCAACCAAAGCCCCAGTCAAACATGGAGTTGGCAAAATCCGCTATTAAAGAATCTTCCGGGGGAAACGGAAGATGTTCTGAAAGGTGGTTATTAAATCACCGACGATTCCTGTAAGGATGACTCAACTAGAAGTGCAAGAAGAGTCTAAAGGGATGCTCCTAGCACGAATAAACAGGTGGAGCACGAGCAAGATGTCGTAAAGGTAAGGATAGCTGGGATGAATTGGTCTGAGGCGCACGAGATGGTAAGAGTAGTAGAGAATGGTTACTCTCAATATCAAAATCGGATCGGTCTGTCCTCGGATCAACTGATTCGAAAGTGCAATTTACAAGAAGAAATAAAAAGGTTAGAGGGGAGGGGTTCGAAGCAGCATTGATAATCAACAAAATCTAGTTGCTGCAACATCTAGGTCAGTTACAAAAATATGTAAGAATGGCAAACTCAACTGGACAACTGCACGGTATTTTTAGACAGCAACAAGTCAGGATATTTAATATGTAACCACGTCATTTCAACAATAAAATAAACTTGCTATGTTGTTCGTAATTCAAGAACATATTATACAATGACCAGAAGGATTGACAATATGACAACCAAACACAGTTGTAATTTAGCCCTAGTACCCATATGAAGTTCTCCTCATCATTCTCATGAACTCTTCGGCATTAACTTCACCATCACCTGTAACATTTCAAGAACAATTAAAGTCGTACAATCAAACCACCACCTACAAGTGGGTATAGAAAAACAGTGGACATCTTGAATATGAATTGCGATATTTGGAAAATTATGTTCTCATGGGGGTAAAAAACAACCACAACTGAATATCTCGCAATTTCTGGCACATCTGATAGGCTTGTACCAAACTCAGATAAACGAAGTGGATGTGGTAGATTAATAGCTATATTAGAACTTTGTCACACCTACAACATACATCATTCAGAACATTTAGGGGAGTAAAAAGAGAATAGGCAAAAAATTTCTCTTAAATATCCAGCTTTTCAACTTAATAGAGGTGCCAAATATAAGGCGCATGATGATAAGGTAGCCTAGGTCTAACTTGGTGGTGGGGTTCTTGCCAGAATTGAACCAACTTAATATTTGGTTTCTTCTAGTTCCCTATAATCAGTGTTCTAAAAGGCGTAATGCATTGCGATGCGTGGAGGCCAAGCTGTGAGTTAAGCAAGCTTAGGCAAGGCATCGGCGTAAAAAAGCGTAAAAAGGAGTTTTCTTTTTTTAATATTATTTTAATTTTTAGTCAATTAAAAAATCGTTTAATAATTAAAAATAATACCTGTCAAATATCTAAAACAAATTTATAGGAAATTTATACATTTTCCAAATGTTTTCAACAAAAAGGTAAATTCCAAATATAAATATTGAATAGTAAATAAATAGAAATTTTTAGGGGATTTCCTTTGTTTAAGGCTTCAAGCGACTATTTTCAATTTAGAACCAACAAGTGAAGAAATTAGCATTTAAGTTTTAACTTAAAAGAATTGTAAAAAATAATAATAATAATAATAATAATTGAAAAAAATAAAAATAAAAAAGGTAATTATGCGCGCTTAGGTGTGCATAACTGGGCCTAGGCGAGCATTAGCGGTCAACGAATGCTGTTGACCGCTAAATAAGGCACCAAGCCAAGTGGCTTGGCGTTTCCACCATGCATTGGCGGAGTCTAGAATGAGCGCCGTTTAGAACAGTGCCTATAATAGGTGATCAAACCATATTTACTCGGTTCGGTTCTTATGGTTTGAGGTGTGAGAAATCAGCTAGATTAGAAATGGGTGCAAGCACGTTATAATAAGATCTATCTACAATTAAAATTAGGTATTTATTGAGAAAGCTAAAAATTTCAAAAGACAGAAAATCGTGTAATTAGCTCGAACTGCTGAAACCGAGTACCAAAACAGAACCTGTCAGTTCTCAGTTAGGGAAAACTGAATCTGAACTCTTGTTTCTCAGGAACTGGACCGACCCTGTCTATTTTACCCACCCTTGTTTCTTTGGAACTGGACTATGCGTTTATGAAAATGTTTTGGTCACAACACTGACTCTTGTCAACCAAAAAGCCTTACAATATCCTCAGACCAATATCCTTTCCCGTTGCCCATAATCTTGGCTGTAAAGAATGTAACAAAGCCATCTTTGGTTGTTCTACTGTCATGCCAAACTTGAACAAGCTCTGAAGTAACGAAGGCGAAGTTTTATCGGTCTTTTGAAACTAACCATGAAACTTACAGTTAGTAATCCTAGGACCAGAATAGACTGACATCCTACCAAGGTCAATCTTCTTAACTCTCCATGTGCAGCTTGTACCTCAAATTCGGCTGCTTCTAGCCAATTTCTAAGTCTATTACAATCACATACAATGTGACGCCCCGAAAATTTTGTAGAATAAAATTTATTTATTTTGTAGACTATACATTTATATTCTGAAATTGAGGGACTAAAGTGAAATATATCTTAAATTCTTATGCTTTTTGGGTCAAATAATTAGATTTTGATAGAGTGAGTTTTAATATATTAATATTGGATTCTTTTTGAAGCTTGTAATTAATAACAAATCTTTGAATTGTGAAAAAGTTAATTCGGATAAGTTAGGTTCAAGATATTGAAATTTATAGAAGTCGTTATTATTAGTATTTAATTTAAATTAGAATTCACCAACTAATTATTAAAGGTTGAGAGCAACTTGAATTTTTCTGTAGATATGAGGCAAAAATGTTGGTTGGTTTGGGATTTGACATATTGGATATATGAAAATCCTATTTTAATTATGATAGTGGCTAATTGTGATTTCTAATCACATTTTGATTATGATATTTGTTAATTTATAATTATAATCCTATTTTGATATATTTCAAACTCTACTTATTGTTTGCCAAATTAAATTAAAATATTAGTCTTAACCTTTATTAATTTTTTTTTTCTTGACCACATTGTATGAGTAGATATGGTCGATTATTGTGATTAGGATACTTCTACTTAAGCAAAATCCTAATTAAACTAATCTAGAATTTATTATATAAATTATTAGGTAATTTCCCTTCCCCTACCACGGCATGTGTTTAAAGATTTATTTATTTTAAATTATCTTTACCTACTAGAGATTTTATAAAGATGAGATCAAATTTTATGAAGTCATTTTTTATCATATTTTACTTGTGGAACACGGCTCCACACTTTTGTACCACAATTCTAGTAGTATGATTTGTTTTTTATCAAAATTCAATTCCTATCCAAATTGGAACACATTTTTTTCCATAGTAATTGTACTATGACTCAACTACTATTTTTTTTTTTCTTTTTTTACAATGAATAGTGTGAAATTGTCCCATAAATTCTCCACCAAGAAATTTTACACGACAGATAGTAGAGAGAATAATTTCGAAAAGTCAAGTCACAATTTTATTAACGCAGCCGAGAAAGTAGAAAAGATATTAGGATTCTTTCAAATTCATTTTATTTGACAAAGTAAGATATTTATGTGCAAGTGGTTCATTTCCTTATGCTTTTATGTATTCCATTAAATATGCATGAATTGCCATTGGACCTTCGAGTTTTGTAGAAAGAGATAAGAAATCCTATGGGTATATAAAAGCACCTAAGATAGGTGCGTCGCTTAGTCACTGATATATTCCATAAGAGAAGAGTAGTATGAAAACTGCACGTATTTATAATTGTGTATGAAAACTACACGTATCTTACTTGATATTTTTAAATACTCACTCTTATAATAATTTTACAGGTTAGTTTGGATCGATTGGATCTGTGGAGGGCTGGTGATGAGGGCTGCTAAGTGAATCGGAAAAAAAAAAAATTATTTTACAACAATGTTTTGGCATCATTTCAACCACACATTCTTTAATAAAATAATATTATACGTAAATCCAAAATTTTTCCATATCTTTTACCAGACATTTCCCATCAATACACTACTCAAAAATTGATTCTTTCCCCAAAAATGAGGCTCAAACAAGGGTTAAGTTTTTTCTATCTTCAAATTTATTAGTTGGTTTAAAGTTCAAACTTCAAAGTCATGTTATTTAATTGGTTAGCTAAACATGTTTACTTTTTTCTTTTAAAGATATAATTTTCCATGTTTAGTTTAAATTTATGGATATTTCAATATTTTGCTTTCAAATAAATTTATTTTTATCGTTCCATATTTAAAACAAACAAAAGTGAGTTCTTGGTGATACTTCAAGTTTATGAAAATTTTGAGTGTTACAGTTTGGTATCAAAGCATGTCTACCTTCTTGTAGACACTTTTTAAAAAAAAAAAAAAAATAATAATAATAATAATAATAATAATAATAATTCAAATCATCCCAAATTTAGGAAAATTCTATTTTTAGAAACTTCTAGTTTGATAAAATTCTATTTTAGTAAATTTCTAATAAAAAAAAGTTTTTCCATAAACATTAAGGAATTAATAGCAATGTAAAATTTTTGAAGTATTAAAACAATTAATGATATAAAAAACTCTTGACACGTGACGCTCACTATTCGACCACTTTCCAATTGATCCAAGGTATGAAACAAAATGTCATTCTTTTAGCATGATTATGAGCTTTCTTGTAATAATAATAATAATAATAATAATAATAATTCAAATCATCCCAAATTTAGGAAAATTCTATTTTTAGAAACTTCTAGTTTGATAAAATTCTATTTTAGTAAATTTCTAATAAAAAAAAGTTTTTCCATAAACATTAAGGAATTAATAGCAATGTAAAATTTTTGAAGTATTAAAACAATTAATGATATAAAAAACTCTTGACACGTGACGCTCACTATTCGACCACTTTCCAATTGATCCAAGGTATGAAACAAAATGTCATTCTTTTAGCATGATTATGAGCTTTCTTGCTCCATGTTATGCACTACTATAAGTATGCCAGTCAAATATTCAAAGCTTTTCAACTAATTGAGGTAATTTCAAGGACAAAATTCATTTATTGAAGGAACATTGTCACGCCCCGAAAATTTTGTAGAATAAAAATTTATTTATTTTGTAGACTATATATTTATATTTTGAGATTGAAGGACTAAAGTGAATTATGTTCTAAATTCTTATATTTTTTGGGTCAAATAATTAGATTTTGATAGAGCGAGTTTTCATATATCAATATTAGACTCTTTTTTAAGCTTGTAATTAATTAGAAGTCTTTGATTTGCGAAAAAAGTCAATTCGAATAAGTTAGGATCAAGATAGTGAAGTTTGTAGAAGTCATTATTAGTATTTAATTTAAATCAAAAGACAACCACCTGTACTTTTCTATATATATATAAGGCAAAAATGTTGGTTGGTTTAAGATTTGACTTATTAGATATATGAAAATCCTATTTTAATTATGACAGTGGTTAATTATTATTTTTAATCACATTTTGATTATGATTAATGTTAATTGATAATTATAATCCTATTTTAATATATTTCAAACTCCACTTATTGTTTGCTAAATTAAATTAAAATAGTAGTATTCACTTTTATTAAATATTCTTTTTTTTTTTCTCAACCACATTGTACAAGTAGATATGGTTGACTATTGTGATTAGGATACCTCTAATTAAGCAAAATCCTAATTAAACTAATCTAGAATTTATTATATAAATTATTATGCAATTTTCCATCTCCTACCACAACATGCGTTTAAACATTTATTTATTTTAAATTATTTTCACCTACTAGAGATTTTATAAAGATGAGATAAAATTTTATGAAGTCATTTTTTATCCTATTTTACTTGTGGGGACATGGCTCCACACTTTTGTACCACAATTCAAGTACATGTGTCATAGTATGATTTGTTTTATCAAAATTCAATTCCTATCCAAATTGATACACGTTTTCTTCCATCACAATTGTACTATGACTCAACTACTATTTTTTAACTATAAATAGTGTGCAATTGTCCCATAAATTCTCCACTAAGAAATTTTACACAGCAAATAATAGAGAGAATAATTTCGAAAAGTCATTCACGATTTTATTGACGCAGTCGAGAAAGTAGAAAAGGTATTGGGATTTTTTCAAATTCATTTTATTTGACAAGGTAAGATACTTATGTACAAGTGGTTTGTTTCCTTATGCTTTTATGTATTCCATTAAATATGCATGAATTGCCAATGGACATTCAAATTCTATAGAAAGAGATGTGAAATCCTACGAGAATAAAAGAGGATCTAAGATAAGTATATCGTTTGATCACCGATATACTCCATAAGAGAAAAGTGGCACGAAATGTTGATTTATTTGTTATATATAATTGTGTATGGAAACTGCACATATTTTATTAGGTATTTTTAAATACTCGCTCGTACAATAATTTTACAAGTCAATTAAGGTCTATTGGATCTGTGGTGGGATGGTCATGTTGGCTGCCAAGTGGATCGAAGAAATAAGTTAAAAAATATATATATTAAGTATTTTTCTATCTTCGAATTTATTAGTTGGTGTAAAGTTCACACTTCAAAGTCATGTTATTTAATTGGTTAGCTGAACATGTTTATTTTTCTTTTAAAGATACAATTTTCCATGTTTAGTTTAAATTTATGGCTATTTCAATATTGTATTTTTTTTTTTTTTAAAAAAATATTTTTATCGTTCCGTATTCAAAACAAACAACAGTGAGTTCTTGGTGACACTTCAAGTCTATGAAAATTTGGGGTGTTACATACAATCAGATTCATCTACCAAATATTTGTGTCCTCTTCTAGATTTTTAAACCTTCACTGTCCATTGCAAAAGCATTTGTGATATTTGGCATGTAAATGATTCGTGGAGTCATGTACATTAAAAAGATGCTTAGGCAGCAGGTTTCAGGATTCTGGATGAAAGTGACTGCACAAGAATGAATATTCTAGATTTGTCATAAAAGATATCAGTAGATATGTCAAGCAAAATATAGAGCACCAAAACCACATATGCCCAATAAATTCAGAAAAGAAAATTAGAGTAAACTTACGATCTTGATCTGCTTCGTTAATCATTTCTTGAATCTCTCTATCGCTGAAACGTTCACCCAACTCCTTCGCCATGCGCTGAATGTCTGCAGCAGAAATCTTCCCCTGCAATCATGACGAAGAACCAGTTATGAGAAGACGCAATAATAGTATGTAAACCCCGGCAATAGCTTACATTTTTATCTTGGTCAATAATGTAAAAAGCTTTCATTAGCTCCTCTTTAGTGTCCCTTTCTCCAAATTTGGCTGTCATCATGTGACAAAACTCATCAAAGTCAATAGCACCACTGCCATCCTTGTCTACTTCAGCTATCATTTTATTAATTTCCTGTAACGTTAAAGCCAAAAGTTTAAACCACATGGCCCTTATTACAAAACGAAATGCAATTGAAACTAAAGTATTGTTGCCGATGACCAGTAAGAATTGAGAAACTACTGACAACGTGATATAGAGATTAAAAGAGTATCTTTATAAATGCACAATTTCGGGGAAAAAAATTGAAAAATAACCAAAATAGTAAACTTCAACCAAGATAGTCTATACCACGCTTAGCCCATGTAGTGCACAGAAGAAAAATTATTAACATGGAACCATATAATTCCCACACATCCCATCCCCCACGTGGATAGGAACTGTTGCCTGAGCAGCTTTTATAGTTCGTCTACTTTCTCAACAGTTCTCCATAAAGGGTCACAATCAATGCTTCCCGCAACAACTGATGATACAAGCTTGATATACATGCCCGAAAGAGTTACAGAAGTATCTAAGGCGCATATTAATTATCAACATGATAAGAACTATAATTACTCCACACTCACAGAACCCTATACCTAAAGGTTAACTACCTCAGTTTCTTTGTACAAGGCACCAAAACTATAGAAGATATCCTATTATACAAATCCATGAAGCAAATGCTTTTCTTACTCTGTTCACAAGAATCAACAAACTTGTCATCCTTAGGATCATGAACCATTCAAAAACTGGTTAGCCGAACTACCCCATTATTCAGGAGAGATTGTGATTGTGTGCAAGTCAATCACAATGACTTATTCAATTCACAGTGACTGATTCAATTAAATTTCCAAATTCATTTGAATGAAACTTCCCTTACAAGTTCTAGCCAAAATGGAAGAGTGGAATGAGAAAGGATTCCATTTATCTCGTAAATGATTAATGGACTATAATTAGCAGTACACTATCAATTTTAGAAATAAATATATGAATCTATCTTTCTACCAAACTATCTAAGTCTAAAACTTGTAGTATCAATCTACAATATTCTCTTCTTATGTGAACATCAATTTCACGCTGTATAGAATTGAAATAACCCTCAGTGGCCAGCGCATATTACTTTTCTGTAGTATTCTAAAGAAATGCATGATTAGACTATTGACAATATGTCCACAGACTTCTTAATATTTGGAAAAGGGATAGTAAATCCCACTGATTTTTAACCCAAACCATGATATGAAATAAATTGATATAGTACTTTCTTGCTAGTTGTTCTAAGTGCTTAGATACTGGTCAAACATCATTTTTAACAACACATTTCTTAGGACCACTATTTTATTTACTTCTAATCACATATTCCTTGGGATTCACTACTTATAAGCCCTTAAAAGCTTAGTCAAGCATATAGTATAAATAAACTATTAATATAGAAACCAAGCAATAAATTTGCAACATGTGACTCACATTAGGTAAAATCTCATTATCGCATATTCTTTCTTCAAACAAGCAATATTTCTACAGCATTTTTAAATAGTGTTTATACAATTTAAAAAATAATAATTTTCTTTAAGGAATGGAGAAGGAAACACATCAAAAGAGGCCCAAACTTCTCAAATATCCATCTAATCACTCTTGAGGATGGTAAGAGCCCACTGATAATATAGAAATTTAGGGAAAACAAGGTTTGATTAAATCTCCAGTCATCTGGAATCCCTTCTGTTTGGAACACAAATATGTATATATTTCTCTTACTAGCATGAGGCAAATGGCAACAAGAGGAATATTTATCACAAGCAATAAAAGATCTTCCATAGGAATACTAGCACACAGTTTAAGACTCTTCAAATAACATTTATGTGAGAAAAGATATTTAACGTGGGCAAACTTGAGAGTTTTTCATTACCTCTTCTGTCATTTCAAAACCAAGAGCCCTGCAAAGAAGCCATGTCACATTTAATTTCCATAGATAAAATAGTATTAACGAAACTTTCATACCTCATTGCAACATTCAACTCTTTTGCATCAATTGTTCCTGCATAGGGTTAGTTAAAAGAACACGCAGTAAATTGGAATCAGATGTCAGTAGAGATATACCGCATTCAATTATGTTACTTATTTCAATAATTGATTATATAAGAGACTAGTGAAAATACCAGAGCCATCAGTATCAAACAGCTCGAATGCTTCTTTTATCTCCTGCCTTTTCTGTTGAGTTAATCCGTGACGTCCTCTAGGTTTATCTTTCCTGGGTACTGCACTATAAACCGGTGCCTGCAAGCAAGGGGCGTTAAATAGAAGGGAGAAAATGGAAAGGAAGGAGGGAAAGGGAAAAAGCCCGGGTGGAAAAAAAAACAAGTTCAGGAAGCCATGACTTGATCAACATTACACTTAAAACTTCAATCGTTCAACCCGGCCAACAAGAGCAGCATCCAATTTATTCTGTCCATTTGATTTGTATATTTACAAATAAATTAAAGTCTCCTATCATATTTACAAAACCCAAAACTTCAATTACTGTATTAACGAAATTCCAATACCTTCCTGTCATCTTTATGATTTTTGACCAGCGTATTTCAATTTATCACACAATATTATAGAAACTTTATCAAAGCGATATCGTACCCCCATATACTCTCTGATGCGAATTTAACGAAATTTACTATCAAAGTATTATAAAAAGAGATCAAGAGAGGAAGATATCGTAAATTTACCATCGCTATCTGCAAAAAGGAAAACTCCGCGACTTCGCCTGAGAGAGAGAGAGAGAGAATACGGAGCCATCTTCTGTATTTTATACTCTCATTATATTTATTAGGAGACGCGTATTCTATTTGAAAAATAAAAATAAAATAAAATAAAATATATAAAAATTGGGTTGAACCCCAACCTTGAGAGCCCCACAGTTCTGTCCCTAGAGTATCGTGAGGGAGATAAATCGCGGGATGTGTCCCAACAGGTCAGGAAACAAGAGCGTATCTATACACTTGTGCCCACAAAGAGTCCAATTACATATCTCAGAAATCGAACACTCACACTGTGACGGCCAGTAAAGTTAAGACTACCTCACTCATATTCTTTGTATCACTAGATTATGTCTCGGGGGCTCGTATTCTATTTGTCTTCTATGCACTTGTTTCAACGCCCCTTCACCCCTCCCAAAAAAAAATAAAAAAAATTGAATAGTCTATTAATATTAATGAAAAATGTGTAACTAAAAAATTTTTAAAAATCATGAATGTACATGTAATATTATTTTATCGAAAATGTGTGATTTAAAATGGGGTCAAATCATGTATTTGGATGAAAATTTTATTTTATTGAAAAATGTATTTTGATGAAAAATTATATTGATAAACAGTCCAATTTGGTTTCGATTCAATTCCATTCGATTTTGTATCATAATTAAACTTTTTAACATTAACAATAACACTATATTAATCTAATGAGTAGTTATATTGACACCATAACTTCTATTTGATATAAAATATTTTAATTATAGTAAATCTCCTCGATCTTCGATCATTGTAGTAATTATTTTTTCAACTTTTTTGTCGAATTTTTATCTTCAACTTTCATTAATTTGTACGTCTCATCCTTATTGATAATTTATATCCAAATATTTTGTTTTCATACTTTGAAATGAGCGAAAAATATTTTTTCGCATTTTTTATTCATTTATTTTTAAAAATATGATAGAAAAATAACTTGGTTTACACCATTTTAACAAACTTTTGGACATAAAACTGCTATGTATGTTAATTAACGAAAATTTTGAAGAAAAGAATGACATGAAATATTGTTAGGCACATAAGTGTTTTAATAAGGAGAGAGTAAGAACTTTAAGTGCAATTACATTGTGGTGCAATAAATAAAAATTGTGTTGTAAATATATTTACCCTAATCCAATCAATGATATGTAAAATACAAATAACAAATTGTCTAATAAGTTTTTATTTACTAGTGTATACAAATTTTTTAAAAGTAAATAATAATGCTAAAGCATCGATGATTCCATCACACTGATTCGTTTGCTTCAAGCCTTCAAATCTACATTAAAAAAATGAAATATGAATTAGAAGTTATTTTAGCATTGCAAATACCAACTATTTAAATTAATTATCCATTATTTGACTTGTCACACTAAGAAACTCTACAAGAAATAATTGAAAAAACACAATTAATAAAGATAAATAAACTAAAATTTGTCCAACTAATAAAATTTAATATGGGAAAATATAATATATTGCATGTCCTAATGTTCTCATAGAACTCCGTCTCTTCAATGTAAACTATATTTTGGAAAACTTTCGAAAGTGTGTATTCTTCCCTTAGCCAGTTTTGTGTAAAAATCAAGGTCTCAACTATTTTAGGAATTAAAGAATTCTTAAATAGATTAAGAAGTGCCCTTTAGTACTAAATGCTAACTATGAAGCAATTGTAGATACAGAAATTGCAATTACATCCCTTGCAACCTCGTAGAAATTCAAATCTTGATTTATTGGACTTCCTCCAATTTAAAATGTCAAAATTTTCATCGATAGCGTCTTCAATGAGTTCCATTAGATTTCGTTGTATCTCATCTTTTCCGAAGAATTCCATTAAGTTAGTTTTCATTTCCTTGTACCTAAAATAAAAATTACAATCATTACAATCATCATCATCATCATTTCCTTCTACCTAAAATAAAAATTACAATGATCATCATCATCCAAACGCTCCAACAAAGTGACTACAACATTAGAAACATCGAAACACTTCCATTAGCTCCATTGTTTGAGCAATGCCATCCCTTGTATTGGTTTTATAAAGCATACAATAATTTCATGACCTCGTATTTTGTGGCTACAACATGGACAAAGTAATAAGAGATATCAATACAATTTACAACAAACTCCTACTTGTACCTTGGATCAAGCATAACTGCTACAATCAAAATCTTATTCATTGTATCAACATTACACTAATACTTGTCAAACATAATCTTCATGTTATTTGCTACATTACTTAACAAATAATTTTTCGTGTCACGCCTTTTTCTTTTCAAAATTTGCTCAGCTTTACGAACTTCATGAAAGTAAATATTGGAAGTAACACTCAATGAAGCACTAAATTTCAATGTGATACCATAAAAGATTCTTAAAAGTTTGGCAATTTTTTTTATCTTTCTCCCAATTTTATATTTCATTAACTAGGAAGGAGATGATCGAAAATATTTGACCATATTTCAATCATTCTTTAACAATCAAATTGACTATATATGTAGAATAATGTACATTCAAATAAGAGCCGCAGAGCCGCTTAACATCATAGTATCATCAGGTTCCAATTCTTCTACTTATTTTTCACATAAATGATTGTTTGCACTGTCTATAGTAATAGTACCCACATGCTCTATTCTCCCATCGAGCAAACAGTATTCAATAAGTTTTCCAATGGTCTCTCCTTTATGATTTGGAAAAATAGAAAAACTCTATATCCTCTTATGCAATTTTCAATTTCTATCAATAAAGTGTATTGCAATGTCTACCAATCAAGCATCCATCTTGGTATCACCTTAAATAGCAGTTCGATTGAATCCTGCACAAACAATGAATACCTCATTTTAGGGACAGATCCAGGATTTTTTTATTGGGAAGACTGAAAGTACTTAATAAAATCAATGTAATAAAATTTATATGTATTAAAAAAATGGTTAACGAACATTATTTATTTAAGTCATTCCAAATAAGGATTTGTAACATAATATTCATTTATAATAGAATCTAGATCTATTTTCTCAACAAGTTCCTTTTTTTGTAAAAAGTATCAGCAAAAAAGTCAACATCTATTTTGTTGGGAAGTTTCATCTTTACATGTTTTATTGCTGAAAATGTTCACTTAGTATGTGTGGTAGAAACAGATAATGTCAATACAAGACGAATCAATTTAGTCATCATAATATAAGCCTTCAACCTTCCACTCTCAATCAACTATCTACATAATTTAGCAAGTATAGATACTTGAAATTGGGACTCACCCTTCATATCTAACTCATAATTCAATATAATAATATCTTGCTTTCAATGATAGAATTTCTCTGCAAATGTGAAAATTTTACAACTGTCAAATGATTTAAATGAATCTTTAGGATCCAAAGTTACACTGAGAGAAAGGAATTCTACTGATATATCATTAAATCTTGTATTTAACTCCATCGTCACAAAATCCATTGCTTCATCAAAAAAATCATAATAATAATGCTCAACTATAGTTTCATCACTAAAATGACTAGTGTTATATAGATCAAGTATTATAATATCATTTCTTTAGCAAAAAATTATCACTTCTTGAAGAAATTTTTCCCAATCGTCATCTCTTGATTTTTGAAGTAATTGTTTTATGGTAGACACAAATGTCAAAATAGTTAAGATGTCTTGAGATCTTTTTTGAAGGGTTTGACAAAGAACATTGGTGGTTCTCATTATTCTGTACATCAAATGCAAGATAATATTAACTTAAAACTCACTAAATTTTTGTAGGCATCATGAGCTTGAGCCTGAGATCTACTATTTGAACAATGGTCACAAATATATTCAAGCACTTTGCGGGTTGTACCGTACGTATCCTTCAAACTCTTTACAGAGTCGTAAGTCGTAATGTGAACTCCTATGAGTAGCTCTTGACCACTGCAAATTAATTATTTAATTGGCCCCATTTACATATACTAAATTTCCTCTCTATGAGAAGATTGCAACTCAGTAACTCATTTAGGAGAAGTAGTAATATTGACAATCTTGTCCAAATGAGAAAAGAAATTCCAAATAACTTGGACTTCTTTAGCTGCCACAACTAATGTCAATTGTAACCAATGGATAAAACAATGGACCTAGTATGCATATTAACAATCTCTAAGAAATAATGCTTGAAGCCTATTCCAAGCACCACTCATATTACTAGCACCATCGTGCCCGTGTCTTCTCATTTTGATCGGCTAAAATGCATTTTGAACAAAAATATCACAATTTCATTTTTGAGATTCAATGATGGGTATCATTAACTCTGTTAATTGTAAAGAAAAATATCAAGCTGCCATGACTATTAACAAGCCTTAAGATAATGACCATCTACTTTCAGTTAGATACATCTTGTACTTCATCAATAAGAATGCAAAAGCATTCACCCCAACTTTCTCTCTAATTATCCGTCGTGCTCTACTGGCCATATATGCAAAATTTCTTTTTGAAAAATTGGAGCAATGTGTTGGGAATTTGTGGTGCATTTCCAATAAAACATTACGAATAGCTGGATTCAAATCTGCTACGTGCTTTATTAGTTGTAGAAAATTCCCAAGATTAAGTGAAGTTGGAGATTCATTATTACCTCTAAACCCTAAACCTCGAAATGCTAGCTATCAAAAACTTTTAATCGAAGTCATTATATGCAAACGACGTTTTCGAATTTCCTCTTTTGATACAACATTCATCCCCTTGTCAATATACTGAGACAGTCTAATTAAATCTTTAGCTCTAGTCTCAAAATTTACGATATGTTGAACTAGCATGAACAAGAAAAACATATTTATTGTCTTTAACCATCTTCCAATTATTATATCCTTCTATAACCAATCCCAAACAGTCAGATAAATTACCATCTTTCTAAAAAAGAAAGCAGTAAAAACAATATTCATTTTAGTTGAAGGAGAATACACCATTTAAGGAAATTCAGGGAACCAATTTTTTTTTTTTCCCTGAAAGTGCACCTTGTTTTTCTTCTATCATTGGATACTCATTGAAGCT